TTTTCGAAAGCATGAAAATTATAGTCTAACGGATCCTTATATACGACCCCGCGATACACGCGGAAGTAGAAGAACTACGCGCCGTAAAGAAGGTAAAGCAGGATACTAGTCGGGACTCTGTATCGCTTAAAAAGGCGTAACACGCCTCTCGTAGTATCTCCCACGCCGCTAGCTTTACCGTAAGAGCCGCGACTACTAGCTACCCTTTTCGAGCCTGTACTATCCTGAATGCCGGCGCTATAATTTATATCTTTAACGATTTTTCCCGCTCTTCTGATTTTACCCCCTCTATATAGGGAGACTACGTGGTTATAGGTAGTTCGTCCCTGCTTATTAAAGGTTACGGTAATATAACTATAAGATTAAATAGACTAATAGGAGGCCTTTATTTTAGACTATAAACATTGTATACTACGAAGATTTTGCCTATAATTAAATCTAGACTAATAGTTATAACTACGAGAATACTAGTAGGATCAAAAGCTACTAAGTAATAACTACCTTCGCCGTGCCAATAGATCTATACTATACTAGCTAATTTATCACTTCGATTGGACCGTTATTAAGTATATACCTTGCGATTCTAACTAATCTACGGCTACTTTTCTAGGCGCTTCTACCCGTAAAGACGTCCGAAAATCGACGATACGTTATCCAAGCACTGCTACGGGTATCTTATAGTACCTACGGCTAGGACATGCTAGCCCTAAGCCGCTTAGGCACCTTGAAGAGCAGACGTAGGGGGTTATGATTAAGGGACTAATAACTATCGACTACGTAGCCTATAAGCTCGTAAAGATACAATGGTATATTAACAAGCACCCTTGCACGACACTAACCTATATAGGGGAATGGTAGGCGATTAATTTCACGTATTTTAAATAAACGTCCGACAGGGATTCACGGTTTAGATTCTTGATTAACCGTTATAGTGGCTGAACGGCCACCTACGTTATAAAGGGTAAACTAATAGCGTATATCCTTATAATAATTAAGAAATTTCTCGCCTGGTAGATCGTTAATTAGAATAAAATGTACGCGTTTTCGAAGCTAATAATAAGCTAACTTAATCCCACGATATCACCTACTTCGTAGACGGCGAGGGCATCCTTTTAGAGGCATCTACTACTAATATTCAAGCGTAGAATAGGGCTGCCAAACGCGTAGCTACCGTGGTGATTTTAAAGGGTCGTGCGATAAATATCGATATAAAGCTACCGCGATTTATATAGCCTAAGGCTATTCCCACGGCTACGTAAGTTTATAACCGAACGCTACGAAGGCAGTAAAAGGATTAGAAAACGCCTTACGAGGTCCTCTTTAACCGGAAGCCTATTTTATTATATCTTCGAGCCTACGGCCATAAGGCGTATATAATAACTAAGGACGCTGAAAAAGGCACTAATAAGCTATTAAATCGTATCGCTCCTTATTCCCATATCGGCTACCTCGTCGGCTACGATTCTACTAATATTTTCCGTATTAAGGTGCCCGGCCTACACTGCTATAACCGCGTTATTCGTACGCGCGATATAGATTTTTAACGAACGCGCCTTCTTCGATAGCGATATTAACGCTTTTAAGGATAACCTCTGTTAATTAACCGAGGAGTAACTAAAAGACCTAATTAGTTAGATTAAATAAGAGAGGGCTAGAGATGCACGGCCGTTTATAGACGTATAAGCCATGGACCCCCCCCCCCCCCTTTTTATAACTGCTTATTTTAAACTTAATATACCTTTACCCGTACCGTGGCAAGAATAAGAAGCCCCGGATCCCCTTGCTCGGTATCGCTAAGGTTATAGTCCGTAATGCCCGTCCGTGAGGGGGTAAAGGAGGCTATCTCGAGTCTAGATAGATAAGATGTAGGTTATAAATAGTGTGATTTAGCTAGTATAGCGCCTAATCACGGTCTATAGCTACCTAGTCCACTACTTCCGTCTTTACTAGTAACCCCGCCGGCGGTTATACCGCTAATAGTAGCCGTTATATTGTGAAATTATAATACCACTACGGGTATAGCCGTAGGGTTCCGGGATAAAGGAATACAGTGCTATAATACCCCTGTAGTTACGTTTATAGGGCTCCTATTAAATAGAGGAGCGCGACTAATTCGGTAAGGAGATAGCTAGTAAAAGAACAGTTAAGTAGCCACGTTTAACGCTAGCTCCTACGCCCTAAATATACGCACCTTAGATAGGACTCCGCTAACTAAATTACGGTTAAAAAGAACTATTCCTATAATGCTATAGCGGTGTTTATCGCTACTACTAGAATCTATAGCCATGATAGTAACCTCGGGAAATATACCCCCGGCGGCCTCGGCCTCGAAGATCTATCGCAAAGACCTCCCTCCTCCTCTAAAAAACCCTTATAATATACCCTTATACCCTTGCGGCCAACTATTCTGATAGGTATAAGAAGACTACCTACAGAGCCACGAGGAGATAGGGTTATAGATACGGGTGCCTGCGTCCGTAATAGGTAGAAATTAGATTCTGAACTTAATATAGGTGATAATATATAGATTCGATAAGCATAGTTTTCTATATAAATACAAGGCACGGCTTATGGTACGAGGAGATTAGTAACATTAATGCTCGTTTAAGGAGACGTACATTGCTATATTAGCCGGGAGGTTATTCCGGGCGTTAATAGCTATTACCGCCCGTTTTAACCTTACGCTATTATACTTCGACGTTCTAAACGCGTTTACACACGCGCCCATTCCACACGATATCTTTACATACCCGCCGCTAGGTTTTCCGGCCCCTAGGAACCGTTTATACGTAAAAAAAGCGTTATATAGACTTAAGAAGTCTCTATTACTCTAGTAAAAGCACTTTCCGGCTATCCTATTAGCGGACGGCTTCTAGATAGTGCCGTGGGAACTGTATTAATTTCTGCGTCGCGGTTTAATCCTATTCTTCTACATCGATAATATCGTTATTACTTATAAGGAATAATATAAGGTATAGATAAAGCAGGCTATTAATAACCTATAACGCTACTATACTATATATAAAATCTAGTTATTATAACGTAATTACGTGGTTAATTTAGAACGCCTATTAAACCTAACCAGTAATAGTAAGCATAGTAATAACTATTACCTAATACACCTAATTGAGATCTCAGAACTACTACTCTATTTAGGGGCCTTAACGGATATTAAAAGCTATTAACAGAAGACAAGATCTATACGATACGCTGCTATATTACCGCGGCCTAATATCGCGTTTATAGTATTAAGGCTATACTGCTTTAATACTAATCCAGGGCCTATACACTATAAGGCCGCCGATTATCTAATCCTCTTATCTAATTAATAGCTAATCGTTTATATTAGAACTAGGAGGTAGTAATACTATTAAAGTCTATACTAATGCCTCCTTTACCGATAATACCCTTAATCTTAAGAGTAGGTAAGCGTTCGTAATACGCGTATTTAGTGGAACTATCGCGTAGCGTACTAATAAGTAAGGTACAGATATAATATTAATAACTAAAGCAGAGCTATTAGCGTTAGTATAAGGTATAAAAAAGGGTATCTTTATATAACGGCTATTACTTAGTATAGGAGTGGAATTTAATAATCCGGAATTAAGGATCTTATACGATAATAACTAAACGATTCGGTTAGTTAATTAAAAGATTAGTATAATAACACGCCTCCGCTATATCAATATCTACGGCTACTAGGTACGTCAGGTAAAAGAATAAGGGTAAATACTCGTAACGTACGTTACGAGCGCGGAAATAGTAGTAGACGGGCCAATAAAGGAGTTATACGGCGAGAAATTCGAGATATTCAGGTTCTAGGTAGACGTGATAGATATACGGGAACGGTTATAGTAAAAATAGCTAGAAGAAGTCCAGATAGACTATTTAGAGAATCTAAAGAATAAATTTAAGGGCGGCTATAGCGAAGAGATTATATAGCCGCTATATCTATTATATCTACTAGTTACGAATAGCTTTAATCGCCTAACTAACGTTTAGGGCGATTAAGGGATATATCGAATAGACTATAGTCTTTTCGGTTACGTAACGGGCCGGATTACTAAGAGTATAATCCGGGTAAACACCTATAGAATCTACGTGATATAAAATACGGTGGTAGTGGTTCCCTGATAGTCCGACACAGGTATAATTATACACAATTGCCTCAATCAATTTTAACCTATTTTATGACGTTTTTTTAGACTACGCTGTATCTAACACATGTTACCAAGGTACTTATTGACCCACTGTCGACGGGGTGTGCGATGACCAGCGCATCTCAGATTCCCTGGTTCGGTATAAGATCTCTCAAACGCCCCCCCCCCACTTCACCAATTCATGATCGCATCTTAAAGGATCTGCCTGTCCCGTGTACGGAAGTACATCGTGATCGATGCTATATCCTGTCCGTTCCTCATGAGTTGGCTCAAACATGCCTTAGTGCAACAAGCTGATGTGAAGACGTAACAAGGATGGTTTCGAATGTTGACGTTTAAGCCTCTTTCAATGTTATATAACATAGGCCAGCCGTGCCGCAACGCTATAAACCTAGTAAAGTAAAAATAATGTATAATTAGTTATGTAATTGAAGATTAGAATAAACTTGCAGATCTTTCCATGATCACAATCTGCCGATTAGAAGCCAGGTATTCCTCCTCTGTCAGCTAACCTCGTAGGCGGCCTGCATAATGGCTAGGGCGAAGAGGACAGGCTGCCAAGCTAGAACCGTGGCTAGCTCGGGACTGTGAACCATGTCCACTCCATCAAAATTCCAGCCCTGTGTCCGAGGCCTAATCTGGTCGACCTTCGTCTCTGTATCTGGGTCTTAATTTCGCACGTTCTGCCTGCGGAACGACACCCACTGAAGAAAATTGGCAAAGCAAGTGACGCATGCGCTAGGACGCAGACGCAGACGCCCAGATCAAAGGGGAATGTCGCCGCTGGTTAGCACTTACCTAGGCTACGAGTGCCCCTCAGGGACGCCCATCATTTGCATTTCATCTGTTTGCCCACTTCATAAGCCACTGAATCACGGCTTCTAGGTTCGTTTCCTCTTTGGCACTGATGCCGTAACAGCACACCTCCCTATGACCGATTGATTTCAGATCCAGAGCATCGATCAACTCATCCACTGAGAGTTTCTCCGGCAAATCCGACTTGTTGCCTAGCACCAGGAGCGGGATGCCGTTTAGGGAACTCTGTGCCATCAACGCGTGGAGCTCGTCTCGGGCCTGCTGGAGAACATTCAGGTCCGCTATATCGACGATGAAAACGATGGCGTTCACGCCGCGGCAATACCTCTCCCACATTGTCCGAAAACGAGGCTGCCCACCAATGTCCCAACATTTCAACGTGACGTGACCTCGTTGCACTCGCTTCATGTTGAACCCGACAGTCGGAATCGAGCTGTACAGCGTCTCGAATTAGCCAAGGACCTGTTGGCCCCCATGTACCCCCGGAAGAAAAAGGAGGCAGAGGGGATGAGGAGGAGGATTGAGAACAAGTCGACTGCCGCTTACTCGATAGTGAATTCGCCCCCCTGGTTGGACCGTCAGCCAGAGATCATAAGGAATAGCTAGCGTACATCCGGACCAAGGCAACTCACCGCTAATACACGCAGCAGGGATGTCTTGCCAGCATTTTGCAACCCGATCATTGTGACGTCCATCTGCGTCGCCCTGTAACCAGCTGATCAGCCCCGCAATCCGCGATATGCCCGGGGAAAACAGAAGCTGCTGAGAGATGACCAGTTCTGGCTCTCCAGAAGTGCGTCAAAGGGACGCGACACTGGAGAAGCCGGAGACATTCTGTGCAAGCCGTAGCACGACTACTTGACTCACCAAAAGGTCTTGAGCAGCCAGTCATATACTTTTCGAAATAAACCGGCCATGGTGCCGCTGTGAGCCTGTACGGCCTATATGGAGTGGAGGTGGGGAGCTGTGTATGTTGTGTTTGTTGTGCGAGAAACGGGACCCCAAAGTGAGGATAGCATGTAATACTTATGTCGCTCGGGAATCGGAAGGTTAGTTTAAATTACTGCCCAGCCGGGACGGTCACGTTGATCGCTATGCTATGCGGTAGAGCGATCTCAATTCGCTGGCCGAAAGTCCGCGTAACTTGATGATGGTCATGGAATCAGGTGAAACGCAACCGATACTTGGTCCAGGTTGACCACGACTGCTAGCGTTCTGGATAGTCGCTGACGAGACTTAGATAACTACCAGGTGTGCACTTTGGCGAGCGAGTTCGTTGTTCTCGGCAGAGATACGTCGAGAAGTCGTAGATCGGGACAAATACGAACCTCTCGGTGGAATGCGTGTGCCACTGGCCGGGGAGCAGCTTCTGACTGCCCGACATATCGCGTCACGTGCCTTATAGATGCATTCCGACTTAGCGTATATGGAGTCTAATTCTATACTAGATCTGGCCTGCTTTTTTTACCTAACTTAATAGCTAGCCTTGTGTTCATAGTAGTATCACTACTCTGGCCCGTTTTTCGTCCTTTTATAGTATTCTTTAGGATATATACTCCTATAATACAGAAGCAGATAAAGAGCAGATATATTTAGATATCTAGTAGATAAGATATATAAATACAGAGACAGCTTCCTTTATATACTACTAGATACCCATAGCCACCTTATCGAGATATAATAGAATATATTATATCAGATATATAGAGTACCTTGTTCTTATATATCCATACGCATTTTATCTTAATTTTTCTAAGAGGTATATATCCCCGTAAAATATCACGAACTTCGTTTAGATAAATACATATATAACTCCGCGTACCGTATTTATATTCTAAGAGTTATAAGCCCGGCACTCTCGTAAAACGACTGTATTCCGATTAATCTAATAACTCTAAGGTGGTTTAAAGCCTTAAGACTATTAGGGCCAGAGCTATATTACAAGTAATATCCGTCTATTTTAGTTTATTTAATTGTCTTATTGTTTCTATCGCGTAACTATTTAAAGCGTTTAGTTTAGTTAATTGTGTTTTCCATTTATCCTATTATACTGATTTTTATTTAGATAATAATACCTTCTACAGCAGTAGTGCCCGTGATAGGCCTCGTAGCGCTTACCGCGCCGAAAGATTAAAGGCCTTGGATTAAAGCCGTAATAACTATCACGCATGCCCATAATATCGACGACCTCAATAATCCTGACATTAAAAAAGCTAAACGGCCTACGGTTCGTGTTCGAATAGATCTTCTAACGCCGCCTTCCTTTATAGAAGAACGGGCACCTAGGATATATAGTTTAAGATCCCGCACGTAGAAGAAGATCGATAGAAGGCCAAATAGAGAGGCCTTCATACTCTATATAACAATATCACTAAAGCCGTTAGCTATGTCTTGAAGGATTAGTATATTATAAAGAGTATTAAAGATATCTGCTGAATTTGCTAGCCGCGAGTCACGGGCGCCTAATACGAGTACAATAGATAAAGTTGCTAAGATACCGATTATACCCACTGCCTCCCTCCCGGGAATGTATTATAGACGCGCCGTAATACCAGCACTATAGTAGAACTGAATAACGCGATAGATAGTCTTATACTAACCTCGACCTCGTAAACCTTTTAGCGCACTTACTTACTATAGAACAAGCACTCCCCCCTCTTTTTAGGACACGATACTACGCAGAACCGATATAGGACTAAGAAAAGACTACCATGGCCCCTAGACTCAAGGATAACTAAAATGGAGACAGTGATTCACGATCTACTAGCCAATAGGAATATAATTAAATACGTCGTTGTTAACCTAGTAAAGGAACTAATTATATTATAGTATAACTGTACTACTATAATACTATTAGCACGTCTTTATATAACGCTTCGCTATATTATCTAACATAAGCTCTGTAAAATAACTAAGGCTACCCTTATAGCTTGGGCTCCTACCACGGTATTATCGCAGGACCTCGACCCCCCTTAAATAATTCCCGGTAGGTATTACCGGGAATTATACCTATACCCTTATTATAGAATTCCTCGCGTGGGTGGAATAATAACTTAAGACTAAACCCCGCATTTTTAAGAGCGATAATAAGCTTTTCCAGGTATATAAGGTATAAGTACTCCTCCGCAGAAAATAAATCGATTTATAACTCTACGCTGTAGATACGTAAGCGCAGAATGGGGGTGCTAAACGGGCCGGTGTAGTGGCTATTACTAAAGGGCGTACGATAGTTACCTATGCCTAGCTACCTGGATTTATATAGCCGGAGGCCGTTCCGGTAGCGGCATATATTTTCAACTGTATCCCCTTACGATAGTAAGAATAGAAGACCCTATATAACATCCTCTTTGGCCGGAAGCCGATTTTATCCTATCTACGCGCCTACGGTTATAAGCTATATCCGATAACGAAGGACGCTTAAAAAGTTAATAATAAACTAAAGAACCGCCTTACGCCACGCGAATATATCGGGTTTCTTATCGGCTACTATTCTACTAATATCTTCCGTATCTAAGTGCCTGGCCTCCATAATAACCGGATTATTCATACACGTGATATTAATTTTAACGAAAACTAGTTTTTTAATAGCGATATTAACACCTTTAAGGAAGACCTACGGTAGTTACTAGAAGAGTAATTACTTAATATTCGTAGTTAGATCTAGATAGAGTTATTAGCGCCGGATTCACGGCCGTTTATGGATCTCTAAGCTAAGGACCCCTCCCTATATACCTCTTCCTCTTTTAAACCTATCTCTTCCCCGGTTTCCCCCGCGGTATAGTCTATAATACCTAACCGTAAGGGGGTAAAAGTGGCCTCGCGGCTATTAGCTTTACCGCTATCTAGATAAGGATTAAGATTAGAACTATATAATTTAGCTAGTATAATACCTAATTAATATCTATACTTACCTAGTTAATAGCTCCCTACTCACAGCTGTGGTGGGACACTAAATCACCTAAAAAGCACCTAGTCGACCGCCTAGAACGCCTATAGTACGGCGCTCTAGTCAGGGCACTAGGGGCTTTTAGGGGGGGCCCCTTACGGCCTCTAGAACTAGAAGCAGCAGTGCCCCCAGTGTCGATTCGGTTAACTAGATCTAATAGGCTTTATGCCTTTAGGTCTTTAAAGTTCTTACCGAACCACCCTATAAGACGCCAGCTTCTAGGGGAGCGAGGGGAAGACCTCGCCCGCCTATAAGACCTACAGCCCACTACACAGCTCTATAGACTAGGCCTAGAATTAGCTGCTTTAGTAGGGCAGTCCTGGGAAATAGAGGGCCCTGCAGCCAGGTGGGAGGCCCCCTGGGCCTCCGAACCTATAGCAGACCTTAGACTCTTTTTTCCCTTAAAAGAATAGCCTATAACCGTTAAAAACACCGACTCCGGCACCCAAGACCCAAAAACACCTCACCTCGAAGCCCTTAAGAATATACAACAATCCTTAGGCGAGTGAGCCTCTGTTTTCTACACCGACGGCTCCCTAAGCCTCCCTATAAGGCCTCCTACAGGGCCTACACAGGCTATAGCTGCTATGATACAGTTAGCTAATACCGGCAGACCCTGTAGAGCTATAGGCTATAACCTAGGGAACTCTGCCGAGGTCGCCGACGCCGAATTATACGCTATTCTTCAGGCCCTTCAGATTGCCCTAGAGCAGTCGCCTAGGCCCCTAGAGTGCTATATTTTTAGGGATTCACAGGCGGCCATTCAGAAGCTTCAGCGCTCCTCTTAGTGGGCTATAGAGACTAAGACCCTTATCCTACAGCTAAAATAACAGGGCACTTCTGTCTCTATGTGGTGGTGCCCTTCGTATATAGGGATAGAAGGGAACGAACTAGCGGATAAGGCAGCTAAACAGGCGTTAGACCCTAAAAAAGCTGCTAAATCTGTTAGCTTAGTTACCCTAAGTCACTTAAAGCGTCGGGTTAACGAGGCCTTAGTTCGAGACTGGAAGGCTTTATGGAACGAAGAGGAAGAGGCGGAGAAGAGGGGTAAATCGGTGCGTTTAGACCGCCTTTATAGGCGCTTAGTCCGAGATAACCTCCGCTTCTCCCGAAAACCACTATCACTGCCGATATAGGGCCCTAGGTGGGTAAAGTCGGCTTTTACTCAGCTAAAAACCGGCTTCGGATACCTAAAATCCCACCAAAAGAGGGCCCGAAATAGCGCTACCGACTGCTGTTCCTGTCCCGGCTCCCCTCTACAGGATACAGCCCACCTTATCCTTTCTTACCCTTTTTATAAAAACGAACGAAAAGCCCTGCGGGAAGCCTTAGCAGGCCTACCGCTATCCCTACCGCTATTATTCGGTACTAAAAGAGGTATACAGGCCTTAGAGGCTTATCTTTTAGCTACTAAAATAGCCTTGGCAGAGTGGTATAGGGCGTAAACCTCGGATCCTGCGGTCTAGTTTTCTGTTTTGGTTTTTTACCTATTTTTCGGTATATTAGGCAGACTGTTACGGAGGATTTCCTTTGTTTATTACTACTCCACTCCTTACTATAGTTTATTCTAGCCTCGAGCCTATAGGGCAAAAGGCGCCGCGCCATAGCTTTAGGGCTGTATGCGCGAAATAAATTAAAAAAAAAAAAAGCTCCCTACTCTACTAATAACCCTATTATTGTTTATAGCGTTAACCGTAGCCGGTTTTACGGGTTTGAGTTATCTCCCTGCGTTTATAGATATTACTGCCTACCCACGGTAAGGAGAAAACTATTAGATATTGGCATTTAACGCCAGCCGGCACGCCTCGTTTATCTATACTATAGATAAAATACCGCTAACTATACTACAGTTAAAAAGGAAGATATCCAATGCTTGTACCACGGCTTCCGCTACTACGGCTGCTACTATAGCCCGGCCTACTGCCCCCGGGAAGATCCACCAATAAGACCACCCGCCTCCACTAAAAGACC